CGGTCAGCCAAGTGCCAGAGTAAGCTCTGTTGCTCCAAGTGCCAATTTGCCACAGCACTTCATTCTTGAATGTTTCGCACAGAGAGGAAAATATGAGAAGAGCAATGTTGCCAAACTAGGGAGCTATCGGCTCTGCATGCACAGTCCCCTGACAGGTTTGTACAATAAAGAAAAGGCTGAGACACATAAAATAAACTTCCATCATTACAGAGTTATGCTGCGCACAAAAGCACAAGGCCTTTATTTTAAATTCCAGCCATGCACGAGGCGTCTGTAATTTTCCATCTGATGTAACGGTGCATCATGCACCCATACAAAACATTTAATTTGAATATGTCACTCATTCCAAGTGTTGTTTAGGCTGCTGGAACAAGCAGATACAGCATGTATATATGATGTAGTTGAACAACTTTGGTTATGTAAAAAGGATATTAAACAGGGCGAGAAAGCGCTTAAGAGACAATAAAGGAGAAGGGTTTAAAAAACTGGCAATAGATGACAAAAACAAAGGGACAGGAAACAACAAGCAACAACAAAGCGTGACAAGAAATGAAATACCTTTCTGGGCTTTTCTGGGCTGGGAGGATCCTCCACAGCAGCCTCAATCTCACTGGCTGGGATCCAGGTATCATAACTAAATGAGAGGAGCAGAGTCAAAGGTCATTACAAGCCTGGGCATGTAAAAGCATCTCAGGAAGACCAATGTGTAACTTAAGCTTGTAGAGTTCAGGGCAGTAAGAAGTGTGAAGAAGTCCAGCAGTTCCACTCTACAATGTGAGTACTGTTATACTTCCTCAATAAGAAGAGGCAAGAGTTTTTAGTGTAAGAGTGTAGATTGTTAAATGGTGTTTAACGGCAGCTCCTTCAAAACTTGCTACATTTTTGTTTTAATCTGTATTTTTTCCGGCTTTGTTTCTGAAAACATAACTTTTTCTTTTATTATCAACTTTTTTATTTGATTGAAAACATAACTTAAGGATGTCTGATTGGGTTTGATTTAAAGGGGCTGATGTATATATCATAAATCTTTTATGTTATTCTATGAATCTGATTATCTTTTTCTATGTGTGTAGCATGAAGGAACTACAAACTTTCACTTCATTATACAGCCTTGTGTTGTATAACGATGAATCCATTGCTTGATATCTCTGTAAACTCAGCACCAACCTGTCAGGAAAATATCCCCAGTGGAGCAGGACTTGCTTATCTCTCTTCATCACAGGACGCACCCATTCCTCTGGACCGAAAAGAGAAAAGGACATCAGCACAAAACGAACCAGTGCATCAGAACTCACAACAGAAATAACTGCGCTTAAACACAACACACCTTCCTCCAGGCTGGTGGGAATAGGAACGACAACATGGGAGCTGGAGGCCTTGTCCTCAGTTACTGAGCCCTGCAACACATAAAGTCCAATTAACATAAGATCTGAAAGAAGATGACTGAATATCTTTGTTTCAGTGAGGACAACACAGGGGAATATGGGTTAAACTTTATTTATTGGTAAAACTGAGATTTTTAACAAAAACCAAAAACACACCTGGTGTCTTTTGATGATGTCTTTGAGTTTCCCGAGCAGTTTTGGCTCTATGTCAGGGCTCAGGTAGATGACAGGTCTCGTCAGGCAGTTATTCTGAAATGAAGAAATGCGGCAGATGTGACGGATATCAGTATAGTACAAAAAGTATAGGCAGAAATATCTCTCCTCAACAACACAGAGTACTGACTGAGCTCTTATTTTAATGGAGATTTTATGAAGTAATTGTTCATATAACATATATGTATATATATATATGAATACATATATTATATAATCTCCATTAAAATAAGCGCTCAGTCAGTACTCTGTGTTGTTGAGCTCCTCGGGTAAGGACAGCTGAATGATCTTGTAGTGTAACTGCAGGACTAATTAAGTGGGATTACTGGTTAAGTCACATGACTTGGTGCCGTTAATTATTTCTATCTGTAAAGCTCAGGCAGCTCTGATTCCCAGACGTTTCACAAATGTGATGCAATCATAGGAAACATGCAACCTCTCAAACAGAGAATATTCTTTGCAATCATTTAGCTCTGGTTCCCGTTAGCAATTGTGGGAATGTTGTCATGGTATGTGGAGAGAAAGATGCTTTCTTAAATACAAAAAATAAATAAACATTACTGCTACACCTTACAAAAGTAGAACTTAACATTTACAATCGCATTTTGGCTGTCCAGGTAATGTGTGTAACAAACATGTATCAAGAAAATCTCGGAGGCAAACTCACCTGCACTAAAGACTTCTCAATCGTCATGAACATCTCCACATTTCGGTCCATCCTCGACGGATTCTGGAAGTCAAACCTGCGCCTACCAGGAAATTAGACTGGAGTTACACATGAAACGGCAACCTAGCCAAAATCCAACTGAGCACTGTAAGTTTACTTAACGCAATTTTTTTTCAGTATTGAAACCAGCCAGAAAGAAAGTCTTACCATCCTTGGTCACTCTTGAACTTGTAGGCAGCAGCCAAGATGTGGCAGAGAGCCCCTCCTGACTTAAAGTCCAGAAAACACTTCATCTGTAGACACAAAACAAAACAGTTTCAGCACGCCTCAGTATGGGGGGGGGGGGGTGTAAAAGCATATGCATGTGTGTGAATGTCAGAGACATCAAGGAAACATACTGGCAGCTTAGTAAGTGGAGGGTTGCTGACATGACGCCCAAAAACCTCCTCCTGGAACTGGAGCAGCTGGACCACCAGGCTGGACAGAGACTTGTTGGTGGGGGGCTCAGCCTGGATGTACTGAGAGGACAACAACACAAAGTCAGAGGGGCACAGAGAGGACACATTAAATTAAACTACAGTGTACTGGTGGGCGCTATGTGTGGTCACTTATATCAAAGACTGTGTGTGGGGGGGTTAATATCTGATATGAGTTTAACATATTGTTCTTTCATCATTATTATATAATGAGCGTGTTTTGAATAACTAATGTAGTTATTTCCTTAAATCAGTGTGTCTAAACGCCAGCACACCGCTCAGTGTTACTCCAGACGGGCCATGGCTTTCAGTCAGCGCCGCGCGCCACACAGCCAACATCTGGATCTGAGCTGCATTACCGTTAGCCTATTAGCTCACTAGCTAGCTAGCTGGCTGGCCGGCTAAAGTCACCCCTTTTCCAAAACCCCATCCTCGCGGGTCTGATTGTGTGCTGCTTTTGGGTCTGTTTAGCTACAACAACGTACAGCGACACCGCCATTCGCGGCTGCATCTGATGCAGCTGTTGGCTCAGCATCCTTTTGTATCCCGGCTCGAGTGAGTCAAACAGCTGGATGTTCAGCAGCACCCTCCCTCCTCTCTTTGTCACTGCCTCTGCCCAATAGGTAAGTGCCCACATTTCAGCGTGAAAAATGGAAGCTTGCTGTGTATGGTTACAAAACATGCGGTCGGTACCTTTTTGTAATTCTTTCCCAGCCAGACGCGGACATTATCAAACTGAGAAACCGTATCAGACGCTTCGAAATATTTTACATTCGGGCCGCCGTCTTTCTTCCGTACCGCCATCTTTGCCTGCAGACAACTAGTCGACGTCGCCTGCCGCCCAGCGACCAAAGTCAGGTACTACAACTCAGGGGCCGTAATAACAATCAATGCACAGCAGGTGGCCCTGTTGTGTAGAGAGAAAGAGTTTCAAAATGTTTCTTCATAACGTGAGAGATTTAAAAAGCACCAGATTATTTATTTGAAACGAAACATCAAAACATTTAATTACAAGTAAAAGTTTCCAGTAAAAGTCTTGTGTACAAGTGTTACCAACTAAATGTTCGTCAATTGTCAAGAGTAGAAGAGATACTGATCATACAGAATTGCTACTATGAATGTCATATTATTATATTATTATATTATCAGATCACATTAGGTGATATGAGATGGGCCTAATATTATCTGCTTTATGTACTACTGGGCAGTATAATCTATAATCTATATAAAATCTTAACTCAACAGGAAACTAGTACCATCAGATAATTGTAGTGGAGTACAAAATAATAATAATAATAATAATAATAATAATAATAATAATAATAATAATAATAATAAAGTAAAGTGTAAATACTTAAAAACTTCCATTTCCACCATTCATGCACACACACACGGTAGTGCAGTATGGGCAGAGATGGTAGCAGCACTAAAGAGAATCTGTTCTCCAAACCTTCTCACATGCAATCATCACATTTTTAAACCAGTTGTTGTTGTTGTATCCACTGTGGGTGAGCAACTGGGTGGTGAGTGGTGTTTTGTCCCCACATGCACTTCTAGATAATAAGAGACAACATATTTGTCATGTTTTCCAACTCACAAGGTTCAGTGTTCATTACTAACAACATTCAGATCCTGTTACGTATGAGTTTAATCCTGTATGACAGGCTGGATGTGGTTACTTGTTTACTTCACTACAGTATGTGTTATGAAAAAGCAGCTTTTGAGTACAATCTTTAGGAGCCAAACAAACATTATATTGGATCACACTATACATAATTACACTGTTACAGTTAATATTCTCTCTGAATGACCATACGAGCATTATCACCAATGGACTGATACAATTAAACCACTAGATTCCACTAAATCCTTCACACTTTATCTCCTATTCTTACTTTTTATACTTTTTTATCTAGGATTTTGAAATATCTTAATAGGGGCATCCAGGAAGTTCACTGGGTACAGGTTTGAGTCCAGCATCTATTCATTGTCCAGCTATCTTTTATTTAATACAAAATACTAATATACTGTTGCATGGTGAGGAACCACAAAATAAAATGTATCCTTTTGGTATATTTATAGAGCTGTAAAAGGGAAATGCCAAAACTGTGAAATAAATAAATAAATAGCCTAATAATAAATAAATAAATAAATATAGGTTATTTTTTCTTATTATTCATAGTTATAACGGTCAATAGTAAAAAATAACACATGTATTAAACAGGCACAAATAAGACAAGAGAAGAAATGAGACATAAACAGAGTTGCATCTTTTTAATCAACTGATATATAGTCTCTCTACAATGACAATTAGTTTGTGAGAGATGTAATGATTGATAAGACAATATGGGAAAAAACCTTTACATCCCAAATCCATTAATCTGATTACGTATTTTTTATCACACCAGGGTGAATCTTGGCTTCCTGAGAGCAGGTTGTTCAGCCGCTCTGGTGCATTCTGTGTGACCACAGCCACACTCCTCCACGTGCATGTAAGTGTAGGTAATCAAATCTCCATTCAAGCAACGCAAGTCAACAGTGCGATTGCTGGAGCGCATCTCCTTACAGCAGGAGCAAGAATGCTGCATAGTAGCCATGGCAGCTGAGTACCTAAAGGAAAGCAGAGGAAGGATTATTAAACTCAACATCTGCACAAACTACACCTAAAGATTTTTACATTTCCAAATTTCAGTGGATGTGTGACAAATGTTCATAATATCATCCTTACTTGGTGAAAGTGTTGCAGGATCCTTCACAGTATGGCATATCGACCTCCAGGTCAGACTTACAATCCTTGAGCGTAACAAAGGTTTTCATGTATTCTAACTTACATGCCTTCTCCTTCTCCACACCTTTTTGAAAGAGACACACAATTAGCTTATTTTAATAAAAGTACCTTTGACCTAAAAATAAAATTAAATGTCAAATTTACTTACAAATTTTACAACAGCCATTTGCCCTGCTCTGAATTGTGTTCTAAGAAGGAAAATATACAACATTTCAAACTTCTTTCAAAAGGGATGATGAATTCTGCTCTGTATTGCAAAAAATGAATAACCCACATTTGTTTAGTCACCACATTCATATATTGAAAGTGATACTTACAGGCTGGCAGTTGCTCTCCTGGAATAGCGGGCAGACAACGTTTGAAACTCTGACAGTGAGGGTCCCACTGATATTAACACAGGTGTACTTTTCACACTTATTCTCAGGTGGTGACCAGGTATGTCCTCTCTAGAGAGCAGTGAGGTGGATTTACACACACGCAATACTGAGATACTTTAGGCCATTAAAACATGAACAAGTGGAGTCACAGGTAATAGAGATGATCCAACTTACCTCCAAGAGCTCCTTGGTACCATTAACACTGAGGACACAGTGTGTCTGTACACACTTCCCACAGCATTCGTCTTTATCAGTTTTCACATATTGATATCCCTAAGGGGGGGAGAGTGAAGTTGCCAGTTGCAGTAAACCAATTCTGCTGAAAAAATTTTGCATTATATGTATAGTGTATATGTGAATATGTGATTTTACTCACCTTTTCACAATCAGTTTCACATTGCTGCAACTCACAAAGTACTTTGAATAGTTCAGACCTGGGGTCCATGCTTGTGGTACAGGTGCAGTTCTCACACCTATTCCCAGGTACTGAAGAACCAAGCTAGCAAATGCAAAGAGGATGTGTTCATATTTGTGTTTTAGCCATTCACCAGAATTCATAAAAATGTAAAAGGAATGTGTTTTACCTGGTATTCAGTGTCATCGTGGACACAAACTCTTTTAGGCTCTAGAAAAGAGACATGACGATAACGATGGATATCAAGAAAAAGTCGGCTGTGGTCATTATTTTCATATTAATTCAAACCAATTAACAAGCTTACCACATGTATGTTCTGGACAGCATTTCCCCTCAGGAGTACTGACAATTGGTATTTTTCCAGTCGGACATTTCATGTAGGTTTCTGGGCATGTCTTGGAGTCACATTCTTTGGAGATGACATTAATAGTTATTATTTTAGAGCTATGATCAAAATAAAAAGTAATCTGAAAATGTTAAAACACAAATTTGCATTGTCTTGTCTTACGGCAAACAAGGGTAGAACAGCAGCAGTTTGCTGGATCTGTTTGGTTTACAAGGACAAATCCTAGACCAACGCAGTTTGTCACGGTTGGTGGCGGGCACACCTTCGGTTCGCAAGACACACTCTTGGTGGACTCCTCACAGACGCAGTGTTGGCAGTTGTACTCAAATTTTTCATTGAACTGAAAGAATAAACCACAGTAGTAACTTCATTGTGTCTTTTAGGTAAAGATCACAGGTATTAATTTAACTGTACATGAAGAGAAGACTTGGCTCACCTCACGAGGAACGCCATCAGGATCAAGACATCCTGTTGGAACACAATTATCATTTTAGGGCTTCATGACTGACGTACTGCTCAATCTGCTTGCTGATTAATACATTGCACTGCCATGGCCTAGTCAAAGTGAACAGTTTTACTGACTGTTTGCTTGATCACCCCCTCAGACAGACTAAAGTATTAGTTTTTTGGTTTTTACAGGTTATTAAATGAACAAACTTGTAATTTATGATGTCTTATATTGTTATCAGATGGAATAAATATTTATTTCTTTGTGGTCAGAAAACGTGCAGAGAGTTTTGTTTTAGATGGATCATGATGATGTTATGGAAAATTGATCAAAATGATATTAACTTTGTGGAGTAGTTCAAGTTTATTGTTGGACCAGCTGAGAACAGCACAGCCAAGTAACGCTAATTTGGTGATTTGCGAGTGCAAACACATTTAAACTAAATATTCAATTCATTACATATTTGACAGGATTTTCTGGATATATATATCTTAGCAAAAGTTATTAGGTGGGTTTAAAAGTGAAATCTCACCCCAGTAATGGCAGCTTTTTTTTGCAGTATATTACATCAGTCACGTTGCACCGATGGAGCTGAATTTTTTAAGAGACATTTATAGCTTATAGCTCTTCTGGACGTCTTCTGAAAATTATTTTCCTCTTGGCTTGGGCTGCACTATATGGTAAAAACATAATATTGCAATTATATTGAAAGATATTGTGATTAAGATATGATACACAAATAATGGGGAATGGATCACTTTGCATTAAATTGTTATTTTCACTGAAAAGACTATTAACACTATGATGATGTGAAATGTTTCTACTACAACACTTCATTATAATGCTGTTGACACATATTTTATCACATCAATCAAAAACTGAAGCTTCTGCACTTGGCCATATTGTGATTAATTGTACAACCTTACTGTCCTCAGGATTAACTGTCTGGGTTCACTTTGGTAAGACTAAAAATTGAGCTAGTTTGATCTGTTTTAATCAGTGCTGCCCAATTTCTTCCCTAAAGATCTCTCATTTCATTGGTTTATTGAGCCAACAGTTTTGTGCCACCTGATTACATTTACCTGCTCATTTTAAGGAATGCAGTTCAGGGTTCACTAACCTTTGCACCAACTTAAGTTTACAAAAAATTAACTTTCATTTAGTCTTTTAAGTACACAATTGATTTCCTCAAAAAAGGTATTTGGAATTGATAAATAAGCACCTGTTATTTTATATAAAAAATACTGGTTCTGAGGAAATAAAGAAATAATGGTTAAACAATAGAAAACTCAAGGTGCTCTGGAGGTTCACAAACTTTCAAGCAGCAATGTAGCTAGATAGAGGAACAGGGGACAACATTTCCACTGAACTGTGCCTTTTTCAATCTGTATTTGTATCTGTTAACAGATGGGAGCTATACAGCCATTTCCACGTGACTGTAGTTCTATAGATTCAGCTAAATATATAACTTGAGGAAACACACTTACCACACGTTTTAACACATATGTCAGACTCTTTGGTAAAGAGTTTCATTCCCTCAGGACAAAAGCAACCCTCAGTAGTGAAGTTCATGGTGAGTTCGTAAGGACTGTAACATTTAGACATTAAGAAAGAACATTAATGTTACTCTTTCAGACCTCAAAAACACAGTTATTTTTATAACAACAATAATAAAAAACATTATTATCGTATTAAGTTGAAGTGCTTTCCAGTGGGACAGTGTGATTGTCAGCCATTGAATAAAAAAAAAAAATCTGGTGGCATAACTATTTATTTAGGCATGATTTAAAAGCTGAGTCAGTGTCAAGAGACAGAATACAAAGACTGGAAGAATGTTCTAGTGCTGAGGCAACAGTACAATAAAAGCTGGATCATCCTTTGACTTTAACCTGGGCTCAGGTAATCCAGCAGATCCTACAGGCTATTTGATGCACTAAGGAGTTACAAGTCCACTGATGTACTCTGGCGTCTGGCAATGTAAAGCCGTGTAGATGTATTCGTCGTACCAATTCTTAAAGAATTTTCGTAACAAACTGTTGTTGAAACTGGCGTTATTGAGAAGGGTGTTTGGTCTTAGTCAGACGCCTGGCTGCAGAGTTCTGCACATGTTAAGTTATGATTAATCGGGTCAACAATGTTTATTCACTAAAATTAGATATGTATGTATCATGAATATAGTGATAACTTCCATTTAACCATACAATACACTTAACACGTTTTATTAAATTCAAAGTCTTCACTTCATATATTATATGAGTCTGGACAGACATGGATGTAAACTGCAACATGACCTAATTCCAGTTTAATATTAAAGTAAGTGTTAGTGCGGACAAAGTTAAAACTAAAAGTGAGAAATTACTCTCAGTTTTTATGGACAACATATTTGGAACAAACCTTTGATTATCTTATACTGTACTGTAACTTTTACTCTCCTTTTCTATTTAACTATTTTTAATTGTATTTAAATGTATTTTCTTATTGCCTTAGGTTGCTTTAACATTTTGTCTTGGTGCCTTGTATGTTTTATGTAAAGCACTTTGAATTGCCTTGTTGTTGAAATGGACTACACAAATAAACTGAACCTTTCTTCGCCTATAGAGTTATTTTAAATATGACATGATATTGTCAAAGCTAAATGACATTAGCCATAAAAACTAATTGTTAACTATCTAATGTTAACATTACTGTTGACTAAAAGTACACAGTTTAACCAATCTATTGTCCTGTCTTAGCCTGGGATACATGTCCTTTTCCTAAAAAAAAAGTTCTACCGCCATTTCTGGTTGCTATTTCTAACTGTCTTGACGACAGGAGCGGCACCGTGTGATTTGAGAGGTTAGAACAGCTGACACAAATAGGAAATGCTCCTTAGACCAGACCATCTAATTTGTTTCAGCCTTTTGCAATTCCTTCAAAACAAACTGAAATTGACTTACAGTTAAAGAAATTAATAGATAAAGTGAAAGATACAATTTTCTGGGTGGTGGATATGAGGGGAACCACTCTGGGTCCGTTCTGGAAATACTTTGAAATTTAGTAGTCAGTACCAAGTGAACCAGTGAAATAACTGAATTTTTACATTTTTACAAACAATTACATGAATGAATCATGATTCCCTATACCCAACTCAATACCACGGTAAAAATTTGTACTGATCACGTTTTTTCGTCCCCAAACCATTTAATATTGAGTATCTGCTGATACCCATTCTCGATCTAGTTAATACAGGTGAAAACTCTGCAAAACATTTTGCCTGCATCCAAGCTGTTCCTTTTTTGTATTTAACCTAATGACAAAGTCTCAAAATCTCTCTAATCTTTCTTGATCACTGTCTGGGTTAGGGTCGGGTTAGCTCTTAAGAGTTAACTGAATCAATTGTATTCTGCTGAATGTTTATTTTCCTCATCTGTACATCTTTTGTGCAGATTACATTAAAAAATGCCTCTTATTGGATTTTTGTTCAGGGCCTTTTTTTGCAGTGCCGTGGTGAGTGTGAGGCTCTTCACCACTTTCTTGGATGTGTTAAACTGCGGGACCAATACACTGTATTCTACAATAATTATAACTCTCCAGTGCTGTCATAAGGTATTATGATCCTAGATGAAGGAAATGCTTATTTACACAATGAAACTTTAAATCAACACGCTTCATTTTCATTAAAACTTACTTGTCTTCACAGGTTGGCTGTTCTGCAGGACCACATGGCTTGTACATTTTTTTTGATGGGCAGTCACTGACTATTGGTGAAGAAAAGACCTCAATATAAATGTTAGAATTTTACATTCCTACATACTGTATATAATAAAATGTACGGTAGCCTGTTCAAGGTGTGCTAAATGCAACATATCAAAGAAATTGGTTACCTCACTGATCCCAACATTTAATGTAAAATAATAAGCTTACCACACTCTGTGGTGTAGTTCCTCCAGTTAACACAAACTCCTGCCTCAACACAGGCAGCAGCATAAGTCTGCAAACTTGTGCACTCTACTGTCCGGTTGGAAACTCGGCAACTATCAAAAACACAAGCTTGGTAGAATTTGTCAGGAGCCACAAAGGGATGGCATTCTGCGAAGACACTGTGAGAAAAACAAAACATCTGTTTAAAATGTGTTTAAAACACTGTCCATGCTAGGGCAAAAGTGTGAACTGTACTTTAACTTCTCTATATTAAGGTTATGGGGATAATTGTGAACTACTACAGTTGATTAGAGAATGTCTACCTGCTTTGAAGAAGATTACATACAGGGCCTGGCTTGCATGTTGGAGTTACAGTTACATTGACAGGTTGGCAGTCTCCTACAGGCCAGAAGTCAGCCATCACAGGACAACTTTGCGCCAGTTTGCCATCAGGCAACATGCAATCATCAGTCTGGTTGTTGTTGCATGTTCCTGACAATAGAGTCACACAAATAATACAACACTACTAGGTTGTAAACTTTAGCATATTTACCATATGGTTATTAGAGAGAGAAATGTTCTTACCACAATGGCCCCATGTGTTTTTGCCAAAGTGTTCAAAGGGAAGGGTGACACTGAAGCCACTTATTCCAAAAGTAATCACCACTTTTAGGTGAGGGATCTCCAAAATCATTTTAAGGCCAGTACTCAAGATCTTAACAGCTTGTTGTGAATAAGGTAGTGTCAAACTCTCTCCATCTTTGAATACCTGCAGGGAAAAAAAATAAAAAATACAATACTGTGAAACAACATAGGTAAATCACAATTATTCCATGGATGGTGGCCTATACATTGACAGTAATAATATTCTCTAGTTTATGAAAAGAGTTTTCTGAAACATAGAATAAGACTTTCACATAGCCCCATCTTGTTTTACCTCCAACTTTGCTCGTCCAATGACGTCATGATTCTTCAGTTTGAAAGCTTGCGATTTATAGTGTACATTTATAGATCGAGGACAAGAAACATCTTCATCGATATCACAGTAGACGTTGTCAATATAAATCGTCAAGTTATATTTTGGTAAAATCTCTTCCATCAAGACATAGGTACAGTTCCCTTGATAAGCGTATTGGAGTCCATCAAATGTGATGTAATGGGGATCTCCCCAGCCATAACATACACCTAAAGAGAAACAAAAAAGCTGTAGTTTTTATCAAAGGTTGCATTGAAAATATGAGTAACTGACAGAAAACAGAAACAGAAAAACTTACATTCACAAACGTAATGTTGGCAGCAGTGGTACTCATCATACACAAGAACTGGTTTCTTTCCATTGGCACAACTGATTTCCTCAATGGTAGGGCATTCAAGGCGAAATGTTTCAATTGTATTGTTCTTAATACATTTTGCGAATTTGCAATTGTCCAGATGAAATGTTTCATTTTGCTGATGTGGAGCAAAGAAAGGGCGAATCAGTATTTTTCAAAAGATTCAACACAACCTGTTACTATGAATTATAAAGTATTAAAAAGTAATTATAATGTAAAACTATATGCTAGATAGATAGTCTTACCACTTTACCCCAGTCAGGGCAAGTGGGCGGTGGGTGGTGAGTAGTAATAGTAGATTCAGTTAATGTTGTTGTAGACCTTGTGGTTGTAGTTGTCTCTTCAGTTGTAGTAGTAGATTCGGTTGGAGGTGTTGTAGACCTTGTGGTTGTAGTTAGCGTTTCCGTTGTAGTAATAGGTTCAGTTGGTGGTGTTGTAGACCTTGTGGTTGTAGTAGTAGGAGTAGTTGATGGGGTTGTAGACCTTGTGGTTGTCGTTGGTGTTTCATTTGTATTAGTAGATTCAGTTGGTGGTGTTGTAGACCTTGTGGTTGTAGTTGGTGTTTCAGTTGTAGTTGTAGATTCAGTTGGTGGTGTTGTAGACCTTGTGGTTGTAGTAGTAGGAGTAGTTGATGGGGTTGTAGACCTTGTGGTTGTAGTTGTCACTTCAGTTCCAGTAGTAGATTCAGTTGGTGGTGTTGTAGACCTTGTGGTTGTAGTTGGCGTTTCAGTTGTAGTAGTAGGTTCAGTTGGTGGTGTTGTAGACCTTGTGGTTGTAGTTGGCGTTTCAGTTGTAGTAGTAGGTTCAGTTGGTGGTGTTGTAGACCTTGTGGTTGTAGTTGTCTCTTTAGTTGTAGTAGTAGATTCAATTGGTGGTGTTGTAGACCTTGTGGTTGTAGTTGGCGTTTCAGTTGTAGTAGTAGGTTCAGTTGGTGGTGTTGTAGACCTTGTGGTTGTAGTAGTAGGAGTAGTTGATGGGGTTGTAGACCTTGTGGTTGTCGTTGGTGTTTCATTTGTAGTAGTAGATTCAGTTGGTGGTGTTGTAGACTTTGTGGTTGTAGTTGGTGTTTCAGTTGTAGTAGCAGATTCAGTTAGTGGTGTTGTAGACCTTGTGGTTGTACTTGTAACTTCAGTTGTAGTAGTAGATTCAGTTGGTGGTGTTGTAGACCTTGTGGTTGTAGTTGTCTCTTCAGTTGTAGTAGTAGATTCAGTTGGTGGTGTTGTAGACCTTGTGGTTGTAGTTGGTGTTTCAGTTGTAGTAGTAGATTCAGTTGATGGTGTTGTAGACCTTGTGGTTGTAGTTGTCTCTTTGGTTGTAGTAGTATATACAGTTGGTGGTGTTGTAGACCTTGTGGTTGTAGTTGGTGTTTCAGTTGTAGTAGTAGATTCAGTTGATGGTGTTGTAGACCTTGTGGTTGTAGTTGTCTCTTCGGTTGTTGTAGTAGTATATACAGTTGGTGGTGTTGTAGACCGTGTGGTTGTAGTTGGTGTTTCAGTTGTAATAATAGATTCAGTTGATGGTGTTGTAGACCTTGTGGTTGTAGTTGGTGTTTCATTTGTAGTAGTAGATTCAGTTGGTGGTGTTGAAGACTTTGTGGTTGTAGTTGGTGTTTCAGTTGTAGTAGCAGATTCAGTTAGTGGTGTTGTAGACCTTGTGGTTGTAGTTGTCTCTTCATTTGTAGTAGTAGATTCAGTTGATGGTGTTGTAGACCTTGTGGTTGTAGTTTTCACTCCAACCACATGGCCAGTTATTACTGTTGTAGACCTTGTGATTGAAGCTGTCACTACAACCACATGGTCTGTTGTGTTAGTAGATTCAGTTGGACGTGTTGTAGACCTTGTGGTTGTAGTTGGTGTTTCAGTTGTGGTAGTATATTTAGTTGGTGGAGTTGTAGACCTTGTGGTTGTAGTTGGTGTTTCAGTTGTAGTTGTGGATTCAGTTGGTGGTGTTGTAGACCTTGTGGTTGTAGTTGTCACTTCAGTTGTAGTAGTAGATTCAGTTGGTGGTGTTGTAGACCTTGTGGTTGTAGTTGGCATTTCAGTTGTAGTAGTAGGTTCAGTTGGTGGTGTTGTAGACCTTGTGGTTGTAGTTGGTGTTTCAGTTGTAGTTGTAGATTCAGTTGGTGGTGTTGTAGACCTTGTGGTTGTAGTAGTAGGAGTAGTTGATGGAGTTGTAGACCTTGTGGTTGTCGTTGGTGTTTCATTTGTATTAGTAGATTCAGTTGGTGGTGTTGTAGACCTTGTGGTTGTAGTTGGTGTTTCAGTTGTAGTTGTAGATTCAGTTGGTGGTGTTGTAGACCTTGTGGTTGTAGTAGTAGGAGTAGTTGATGGGGTTGTAGACCTTGTGGTTGTAGTTGTCACTTCAGTTCCAGTAGTAGATTCAGTTGGTGGTGTTGTAGACCTTGTGGTTGTAGTTGGCGTTTCAGTTGTAGTAGTAGGTTCAGTTGGTGGTGTTGTAGACCTTGTGGTTGTAGTTGGCGTTTCAGTTGTAGTAGTAGGTTCAGTTGGTGGTGTTGTAGACCTTGTGGTTATAGTTGTCTCTTTAGTTGTAGTAGTAGATTCAATTGGTGGTGTTGTAGACCTTGTGGTTGTAGTTGGCGTTTCAGTTGTAGTAGTAGGTTCAGTTGGTGGTGTTGTAGACCTTGTGGTTGTAGTAGTAGGAGTAGTTGATGGGGTTGTAGACCTTGTGGTTGTCGTTGGTGTTTCATTTGTAGTAGTAGATTCAGTTGGTGGTGTTGTAGACTTTGTGGTTGTAGTTGGTGTTTCAGTTGTAGTAGCAGATTCAGTTAGTGGTGTTGTAGACCTTGTGGTTGTACTTGTAACTTCAGTTGTAGTAGTAGATTCAGTTGGTGGTGTTGTAGACCTTGTGGTTGTAGTTGTCTCTTCAGTTGTAGTAGTAGATTTAGTTGGTGGTGTTGTAGACCTTGTGGTTGTAGTTGGTGTTTCAGTTGTAGTAGTAGATTCAGTTGATGGTGTTGTAGACCTTGTGGTTGTAGTTGTCTCTTTGGTTGTAGTAGTATATACAGTTGGTGGTGTTGTAGACCTTGTGGTTGTAGTTGGTGTTTCAGTTGTAGTAGTAGATTCAGTTGATGGTGTTGTAGACCTTGTGGTTGTAGTTGTCTCTTCGGTTGTTGTAGTAGTATATACAGTTGGTGGTGTTGTAGACCGTGTGGTTGTAGTTGGTGTTTCAGTTGTAATAATAGATTCAGTTGATGGTGTTGTAGACCCTGTGGTTGTCGTTGGTGTTTCATTTGTAGTAGTAGATTCAGTTGGTGGTGTTGAAGACTTTGTGGTTGTAGTTGGTGTTTCAGTTGTAGTAGCAGATTCAGTTAGTGGTGTTGTAGACCTTGTGGTTGTAGTTGTCTCTTCATTTGTAGTAGTAGATTCAGTTGATGGTGTTGTAGACCTTGTGGTTGTAGTTTTCACTCCAACCACATGGCCAGTTATTACTGTTGTAGACCTTGTGATTGAAGCTGTCACTACAACCACATGGTCTGTTGTGTTAGTAGATTCAGTTGGACGTGTTGTAGACCTTGTGGTTGTAGTTGGTGTTTCAGTTGTGGTAGTATATTTAGTTGGTGGAGTTGTAGACCTTGTGGTTGTAGTTGGTGTTTCAGTTGTAGTTGTGGATTCAGTTGGTGGTGTTGTAGACCTTGTGGTTGTAGTTGTCACTTCAGTTGTAGTAGTAGATTCAGTTGGTGGTGTTGTAGACCTTGTGGTTGTAGTTGGCATTTCAGTTGTAGTAGTAGGTTCAGTTGGTGGTGTTGTAGACCTTGTGGTTGTAGTTGGTGTTTCAGTTGTAGTTGTAGATTCAGTTGGTGGTGTTGTAGACCTTGTGGTTGTAGTAGTAGGAGTAGTTGATGGGGTTGTAGACCTTGTGGTTGTAGCTGTCACTTCAGTTCCTGTAGTAGATTCAGTTGGTGGTGTTGTAGACCTTGTGGTTGTAGTTGGCATTTCAGTTGTAGTAGTAGATTCAGTTGGTGGTGTTGTGGACCTTGTGGTTGTAGTTGGCATTTCAGTTGTAGTAGTAGGTTCAGTTGGTGGTGTTGTAGACCTTGTGGTTGTAGTAGTAGGAGTAGTTGATGGTGTTGTAGACCTTGTGGTTGTAGTTGGCGTTTCAGTAGTAGTAGTAGATTCAATTGATTGTGTAGTAGAGCTTGTGGTTGTGTGTATATTTACGTCACAACACAGTACCCTGATCTGATAGTTGAAGCACTTCTGTGGAGGAGCTATTTGGTCCTCATGTCTACATATTAAACCCTTTTTCACATCACAACTAACGACTTGGTTATGATCTCTTACAAATTCAAAAAAGTTCTGTTCAGGGTAAAATGTTGGTCTACACTCAATATTACTTGGATTTTTGCAGACCTCTTCACCCCTGCTTCGTATGTTCTCATAGGTTTCCAGATCACCATGTTTTTTTGTGCTTGTTTTCTTATCATCATCATACCAGTCTGACCAATGACATCTAATAGGAGGTGTAGATGAGATTGTAGTAGTGGTTGATGGTGTTGTAGACCTTGTGGTTGTAGTTGGTGTTTCAGTTGTAGTAGTAGGAGCAGTTGATGGTGTTGTAGACCTTGTGGTTGTAGTTGGTGTTTCAGTTGTAGTTGTAGATTCAGTTGGTGGTGTTGTAGACCTTGTGGTTGTAGTAGTAGGAGTAGTTGATGGGGTTGTAGACCTTGTGGTTGTAGCTGTCACTTCAGTTCCTGTAGTAGATTCAGTTGTTGGTGTTGTAGACCTTGTGGTTGTAGTTGGCATTTCAGTTGTAGTAGTAAGTTCAGTTGGTGGTGTTGTAGAAATTGTGGTTGTTGTTGTCTCTTCAGTTGTGGTAGTAGATTCAGTTGGTGGTGTTGTTGACCTTGTGGTTGTAGTAGTAGGAGTAGTTGATGGTGTTGTAGACCTTGTGGTTGTAGTTGGCGTTTCAGTAGTAGTAGTAGATTCAATTGATTGTGTTGTAGAGCTTGTGGTTGTGTGTATATTTACGTCACAACACAGTACCCTGATCTGATAGTTGAAGCACTTCTGTGGAGGAGCTATTTGGTCCTCATGTCTACATATTAAACCCTTTGTCACATCACAACTAACGACTTGGTTATGATCTCTTACAAATTCAAAAAAGTTCTGTTCAGGGTAAAATGTTGGTCTACACTCAATATTTCTTGGATTTTTGCAGACCTCTTCACCCCTGCTTCGTATGTTCTCAAATGTTTCCAGATCACCATGTTTTTTTGTGCTCGTTTTCTTATCATCATCATACCAGTCTGACCAATGACATCTAATAGGAGGTGTGGATGAGATTGTAGTAGTGGTTGATGGTGTTGTAGACCTTATGGTTGTAGTTGGTGTTTTAGTTGTAGTAGTAGGAGCAGTTGATGGTGTTGTAGACCTTGTGGTTGTAGTTGGTGTTTCAGTTGTAGTTGTAGATTCAGTTGGTGGTGTTGTAGACCTTGTGGTTGTAGTAGTAGGAGTAGTTGATGGGGTTGTAGACCTTGTGGTTGTAGCTGTCACTTCAGTTCCTGTAGTAGATTCAGTTGGTGGTGTTGTAGACCTTGTGGTTGTAGTTGGCATTTCAGTTGTAGTAGTAGGTTCAGTTGGTGGTGTTGTAGAAATTGTGGTTGTTGTTGTCTCTTCAGTTGTGGTAGTAGATTCAGTTGGTGGTGTTGTTGACCTTGTGGTTGTAGTAGTAGGAGTAGTTGATGGTGTTGTAGACCTTGTGGTTGTAGTTGGCGTTTCAGTAGTAGTAGTAGATTCAATTGATTGTGTAGTAGAGCTTGTGGTTGTGTGTATATTTACGTCACAACACAGTACCCTGATCTGATAGTTGAAGCACTTCTGTGGAGGAGCTATTTGGTCCTCATGTCTACATATTAAACCCTTTTTCACATCACAACTAACGACTTGGTTATGATCTCTTACAAATTCAAAAAAGTTCTGTTCAGGGTAAAATGTTGGTCTACACTCAATATTACTTGGATTTTTGCAGACCTCTTCACCCCTGCTTCGTATGTTCTCATATGTTTCCAGATCACCATGTTTTTTTGTGCTCGTTTTCTTATCATCATCATACCAGTCTGACCAGTGACATCTAATAGGAGGTGTAGATGAGATTGTAGTAGTGGTTGATGGTGTTGTAGACCTTGTGGTTGTAGTTGGTGTTTCAGTTGTAGTAGTAGGAGCAGTTGATGGTGTTGTAGACCTTGTGGTTGTAGTTGGCTTTTCAGTTGTAGTAGTAGATTCAGTTGGTGGTGTTGTAGACCTTGTGGTTGTAGTTGGCATTTCAGTTGTAGTAGTAGGTTCAGTTGGTGGTGTTGTAGACCTTGTGGTTGTAGTTGTCTCTGCGGTTGTAGTAGTATATACAGTTGGTGGTGTTGTAGACCTTGTGGTTGTAGTTGGTGTTTCAGTTGTGGTAGTATATTTAGTTGGTGGAGTTGTAGACCTTGTGGTTGTAGTTGGTGTTTCAGTTGTAGTAGTAGGTTCAGTTGGTGGTGTTGTAGACCTTGTGGTTGTAGTTGGTGTTTCAGTTGTAGTTGTGGATTCAGTTGGTGGTGTTGTAGACCTTGTGGTTGTAGTTGTCACTTCAGTTGTAGTAGTAGATTCAGTTGGTGGTGTTGTGGACCTTGTGGTTGTAGTTGGCATTTCAGTTGTAGTAGTAGGTTCAGTTGGTGGTGTTGTAGACCTTGTGGTTGTAGTAGTAGGAGTAGTTGATGGTGTTGTAGACCTTGTGGTTGTAGTTGGCGTTTCAGTAGTAGTAGTAGATTCAATTGATTGTGTTGTAGAGCTTGTGGTTGTGTGTATATTTACGTCACAACACAGTACCCTGATCTGATAGTTGAAGCACTTCTGTGGAGGAACTATTTGGTCCTCATGTCTACATATTAAACCCTTTTTCACATCACAACTAACGACTTGGTTATGATCTCTTACAAATACAAAAAAGTTCTGTTCAGGGTAAAATGTTGGTCTACACTCAATATTACTTGGATTTTTGCAGACCTCTTCACCCCTGCTTCGTATGTTCTCATATGTTTCCAGATCACCATGTTTTTTTGTGCTCGTTTTCTTATCATCATCATACCAGTCTGACCAATAACATCTAATAGGAGGTGTAGAGATTGTAGTAGATTCAGTTGGTGGTGTTGTAGACCTTGTGGTTGTAGTTGGCGTTTCAGTTGTAGTAGTAGGTTCAGTTGGTGGTGTTGTAGACCTTGTGGTTGTAGTTGGTGTTTCAGTTGTAGTAGTAGGTTCAGTTGGTGGTGTTGTAGACCTTGTGGTTGTAGTTGGCGTTTCAGTTGTAGTAGTAGGTTTAGTTGGTGGTGTTGTAGACCTTGTGGTTGTAGTTGGTGTTTCAGTTGTAGTAGTAGGTTCAGTTGGTGGTGTTGTAGACCTTGTGGTTGTAGTTGTCTCTTCAGTTGTAGTAGTAGATTCAGTTGGTGGTGTTGTAGACATGGTGGTTGTAGTTGGCGTTTCAGTTGTAGTAGTAGGTTCAGTTGGTGGTGTTGTAGACCTTGTGGTTGTAGTTGGCATTTCAGTTGTAGTATTAGGTTCAGTTGGTGGTGATGTAGACCTTGTGGTTGTAGTTGGTGTTTCAGTTGTAGTAGTAGGTTCAGTTGGTGGTGATGTAGACCTTGTGGTTGTAGTTGGTGTTTCAGTTGTAGTAGTGGTAGTAGTTTCACATGTCTCCACACACATGTTGCTCTTCTCATTAAATATGGGTTTATCCTCTGGACATACAGGGTAACAACCTGTAAAAATCACAGCATAAAACATCAAAGATTATTTTATGACAGTAAAAACATTTATTTACATTGTTACATGTCTTTATTATTATTGTTTTTTTAAAACTGAAACTGGACAGGAGGTCTTAAATCTCTTCTGAGTTTGTCACATAAAGTAAAATTATAACTAGTACATTAAACAGAGTTAAGGTGAGACATTGTGAGTTAACCTCTTACCTTCCAGGTTGGGAATATGATTGCTACAAATTCCTTGAGGATTCAAACACGTCTTGTAGCAAGGTGTGTGACAAGAGTGGTAGTGCCACTTGCATTCTTTTGGGCTGTTGTAATAATCACAAAAGACAGCTAGAAAGAAAAGATATAAGGTTGTATTTTTAAATAATAAATAAAGGAAATCAAATAACTACACCTGATACATTCTTACATTATATTTATTTTAGGTCTGAGGATTAAGCTTTACCTAAATATGGAAAGGTATCTCTCAATTACAAATGACAGAAAACTATCATTGATGATGACAAAAGGAAATTCTTACTTTTGAATAACAACCTAGAATTCAGTTAAAGGTCCAGTAAGATTTATGGTGCTATCCATTTGTCTCGTAAGCCCCCAGCCCGAGTGCGAAAGTGTAAATCAACATTTCACCGAGACACACCACCCTTTTGGTCGGAATTTCAGCCGTCCAGCTCTGGGTACCTCACAGTACACCGAGCTAAACGAGGACGAACGTACGACTCACAAAACAAAGATGGCAGCACCCATATTAAAATTTATTTTCTTTGTATTTGTACTACGTTGGTTGTTTCAATGTCGATTTCAAATGCTCCTACACACTTGTTTACATTATGCTTTAGTCCGGTCACCAATTTATGCATTGCACGGTGTTGCTGTGCGTACAATACAATGTAAAGTTTTGTTTTCCAGCTGTTTGCTAAATAGGCTAATGTAGCTAACAATAACACTAGCCTGCCACTGCCCCTGGTGGCTCGAGACAAACGCTACAGCACTTGTTGAAATTGAAATAGGCGCAAATGGCAAAAGATTATTGAAATGTAAGACTTGCAATAACAGAATTACTTGAAATGTTAGTGTTTCTGTAGAAAAACATATTATTATTTCACGTCACGTTCTCGCGACAGAGCAACTCGGGCGGGGGATTTACGAGACAAATGGATAACACCATTAGTGGCAGCGGTGTAGTTGCAGATTGCAACTAACTTTACCCTCCTTTTCCAAGTGCATGCTTATTTTAATGAAGCATGTAGTGATGTCCATAGAGTCTCTGTCATACATATCAGCTTTGACTGCATTTGATTCATTCACATATTAAATATATAGTAAAAAAAATAAGGTGGAATATGTCCTGTTTTAAAGCACATCACCCACACATATCTTGACAAATCTGTTAATGCTGGACTTATCGTCATCAAAATTTGGGATCTAAAGCAGGGTCTTGGCCAGAAACCTCAGTTTGATGTGAGGAATCGTATACTTACGACATATTTCTGGAGTTCTCCATGCAATACAGACACCAGCTTCAATACAAGCTTGGGCATAAGCTGCAACTGCTGTGCAGAAACACTCACAGTCTCCTCCAGTGTCACAGGCACATGAGTCTTTCACACAGTTTTCATGAAATGTATGGTAATCTACCTGTAATCAAAATATAGGATATATTTTAGAAAACAAAGAAAGAAAATGTGTTTGATGTTTTCAAGTATGGGACAACTGTAAATAATGTTAATTTAGAAACAAAATTGTCATTACCTTTTTATGGCACTCTTTGAATATGTCTCCAGTTATAATGCTGCACTTCTTTTTTGCCCATGTGTGTCTATTGTTTCTTTCGACACAAGGGTCAACATTCATATCCATATCTATGCAGCTGCTTGACACTTTCCAGCTGTTTGCAAATTCTAACTGATTGCTCACTGTCAGCTGACCATTGGTGGTGAAGTCATTTTGTGCATCACCATCAAAATTTCCACACAGGCCACATACCTCTCCCTGAGAAGTCAGACAAAAGGAGTCAGTGACTTATTTTACAAGAGGACAATATTCAATATTATTTCTCTCTGGCATTGCAAGGAACAAGCAGGCATTCATATAATTTATTCATGATTTTCAGTTTACAACCAATCATCAACATTATCAGCCACTATGTTCGTAACTGGAGGAAGGCAGAATGTGCAGACAGCTATGCATATAAGGATAAAAATGTATTATCCCAACAAAACTGTCTAATTTATTATCATCAGTCATGTGCTCAGTTATACTGTGACTCACACTGTGCTTTGGGTCCAGGAGGATGCGAACAGTTGTTTTTTTATCCAGAATAACCGTCAGACCAATGGCAGATTCTATCACCAGATACAAGCCAACCTTCCTCATTTTGTACTGAATATGAGAGCCCTTTCCCAGGTCCTCCTCTTCATATTTACCCATTGATATTTTGACTTCCATTCGCTGTAATATTGAAGTTTTCAGTTATTTGAATTTGTATTTAAAAAAAAGAAGTTAAAATTAATCAAACATTAAATTCTAACACTAAATTTAGAAATGCATATTTTACTTCATTTAACAACTTAAAACAATAATACATATCAGATGTTGGTATGAGGTCTTACCCCGAGTTGGACTTTGACAGTTTTGGTGCATGTGGTGCCTGTAGATCCACATGGTACATTTTCTGTGATAACTTTAAAGTTGTCCTGCACCGTTTTATTCCCACATTTGTTCTTAAAAGAGAGAGATTCATTACACATTTTGCTTGTTTGCTTCATAGTAGACAGAGACCACTGATCAAATCAAACTTCAGCTTGGCCTACTAGTCAACAATACTGTAGCTGTAATACATCAAATAAAAGGGTAATTGATCCCCAGCAAGATCGTTTAGTTATCTGCTTTTTTCATTCATATTCCTTAATATGACAATCACCCATCTTAAAGTGAATGGAGGTAAGCATACCATAGTTGATGCAAATATTAAATATCGACTTTTATGATGTGATGATATTCAGAATGAGTAATAAGTTAAAACTTTCTAAATGTAATATCTTTGAATTTCTGAAATGAATTCAGCCAGCAACATAATTGTTTACCTTGACAGCAACATAGTCACAATGTCCCTGAAATCCATATGTTTTCTGATCAAATGTGGTGTAGTGACCACTCCCGTAAATAATGCAAGTTCCTGGACATTTCTTCTCTGTGCAGTTCCAGTTTCCACCTTTGCAAGTACTAGATATCACCCAAAATCACAGAAATGATTAAAAACACAAAATGCAGTTAAGTAAAACATGCAGGCAAATATGATAATATTTGTTCACCGTGCTTATATGTCTGAGTAAAAACAAAGTCATACCAGATGTTGCACTGATTAGTGGTTTTTGTTCCAGGGGGATAAAGACTCCCATCATGCTGACATGGACATTCATTTTCTTTCACACAGGAACCTTTGCCATCATCAAGGAGGCCGCTTGGACACTGACAGCCAGATTTACACTCTATGGAGTCCTGGGGAGAAAGAGAGATCACAGTGACAGAAAGTACAACTGATACTGTTAAAAATAGTTTAAAACTCTCTCAACAGATTGTGTTGCATCTGCAATGTAATATACTGTCCGCGAATACATTTAGGATATAAATATTAGATCCAGTTATTTGAGACACAATGGCAAAAATAGCTTACACAATCATCGTTGTCCAGATTTGAACAAGTTCGAGCACACTGAAGTCCAAACTCTCCTGTGCCCGCAGTGGAGCAGTTGAAGAATACTTTTGGTAAAGTGCATACTGTAAAAATAGACAAAGACGGGGAGATTAGTTTAATATTACATAAAATAAATAAACTGAAACCCTTGTGTAGTGATAACACAAAAAACATACTTGATGAGCGGGCACTCCGAGGATGGCAATGAAGTATTCCATTGGTGCACAAGCTAGGAAAAGATACCAAAGATATAAGATGCCACATAAAGAATTTCATCGATTTGAAGTCCTGTGACACCAAATTGGAAACAATTGACTCACCAGTGCTCGTCTTTGATGCTGATAGACTTTCCTGGCTTAATGTAGACTTCATTATGGTAGCAGGAACATTTTTCCGTGGGGACGCAGATGTTGTTTTCATTTAAGTAGTGACCCTCAGAGCAGGAGCAGCCATCCAAGGGCAAGAAGTCAGAAGTGCAGCTCTGCTGGTTTGAGCCCAGTGATCTGCAAGTCAACTGGCATCCCTGATGCTTATATGAGAAGATCTGGGATGCTGGGCAGCTCCTTGTGTATTTATCTGTACACAATGTTAGGATTGTCACTTTTATGACTGACTAACGAAAGGGAGGATGATCATCAAGTTACAGATATCATCATTCAACTTTCCCACAGCATAATGAAAGAAATCCTTACCACATACATTCTCTCTCCAGTCAGTCAAGAACACTCCCTTTGATCCACAAGCATGTGTGTAGGAGGAGAAGACGGCACACAGGCAGGCTTCACTCTTCTCACAGTTACAGCTGGCATAAATACATCGCTGCAGAAGACAGCAAACACTTTTAAAGAATTACAGTCCCATCAAAACTTAATTTAGTAAAGGCAAACAGCAGAAAGGTTTAGCCGTACCTTGTAGTACATCTCAGGATCCACCTCTGAATGGCACTGCGCAAAGGTGGTGTTTGGACTTAGTAGCAAGGCACACCAGTGTTTGGCATAATTCTCTAAGAGTGGATGAACAATCATTTTTCATTTGTGTCGATACAACATACATAAAAAATAAACAATTGCATCTAGACTATAACGCAGTTAAGTTAAACAACAGAAGTACACGCTGCTGTTTACCATTTTCCACACTGAGGGAACAGGGGTCATCGAGTCTTTCCTCTGTGTCTCTGCACACGTGGTTTGCTTTCCAGGAGTTAGTAAATGTTGATGCTGTTCCTTCCACAATCCCCTGAGGAGTCTTCATGTCATCAGACAAAACCATGTTGTAGTTCCCACATAAACCTAAAGAAACAAAATATTATCATGTTCAATCGTGTCCATGTGTTCGACACTACTTATGTACATGTATTGAGGTTCTTTCATTGTACAGTAATATGTGGCAGTTTTATTGATTGACTGATTTTATTTTAGTTTTGAGTACGTTTTTTTCCCCCATCTATTACGGTTGTAGTCAGTTATAATTGTGTGTGGCAAATTACTTTCCAAACAGACAACATAAAAATCCAACATAATAAATGACTGTTATCAGACAGCCTTTGTTTTTATGAAGCCATGTTAAGACAAATGTAAGACTTACCACGTGTCTTGGCTCTGTAGCTCTGTTCCAGTCTGACATACACTTGCATGATAGGCACATGCTGGATCTGAATTTGCAACCCAAAACTGGTCTGGAACAACATGTGAAAGGATGAAGCTTGAAATATGTTGACGTCACCTTTGATTAAAAAGAAATACAAAACAGTTAGATAATTTGCTGATGTCATTGCATAAATGTTGTTGAGTCATGAGTTTCATTCAGAGTTTTTTTTACTGTTTCTTATTGTGTGACCCACCTGAGTGGTATGGCAAAGTGATGGTCTGCATATTCTGCTTCACTGTGCCCTCAGAAGTGAACATTAACACCTGAATAAAAACAGAAGTCATCATTAGAGTGTTGCAGATATCCGTGTGAATTGATTGATGACTACGGTCTTCTTAACTGATCGGCTTTAACTCACATTGTTTCTGTCATTGTTCAGCACGATTTTAAGGTTCTTCAAACAAGTGTCAAACTCTTGGCTTTTACATGGTACCAACTGGGCCCGGATGGTAAAGTTTGGACTTGCAACATCCTGAAATATATAGTGTGAGGGCAAATAAATTATTATTTTCATCAGCAGATTAATATATTTTTAAAATGTAATACTGGAAAGCAATGACTTATTCACCTTGCATTGCACTTTGGCTAGCGTGTAGTAACAGTCTCCGTGGAAGGTGTAGGTTTTCCCATCAAAGGAAGTTACATGTGAACCCTCTTCGACTGCACAGGTAGCATATGTTTGAAGGCTCTCACACGCCCATCTACCCTCAAAACATGTACTGAAACAACCCAAACAGTTTGAGTTTACAAAAACACAGGATAAAGAAGACAAAATCATACATTCTGTTTGCATTATTAAACATGTGACATACCAGTTTTTTTCAGCGTGTCGGTAAACCTCGCTGGTGTTATAGATTTTATTGTTTCGCTTGCACTGACATTCAGATTGAGCAATGCATCCTCTCTTGGAAATATCATCAAACACAGTTCCTGAAGTAGACACATTTCATTTTCGAAGACGAATTGCATGTTAGAGGTATTAAAAAAGTTGTAATAAGTAGTAGTAATAATAAACGTGTACATGTAAACAGCACTAACCAGGAGGGCAGAAGCAGCCGTCCATTTTGTGGTCCTCACACAGTGAACTTGTGTCTGGGAGTGTGCATGTGTCCATGCAAGGGGAATAACTCTCTTCATAAACCATGTTGAATGGACACTGTTTAGCTGTGAAAACATGGAACAAATAAAATAAACAGAGGGACATGGGGATTTACAGTGAATTATCCCATAGCATTAAGAGTGGAAATAATGGCTTTCATTAATCCAAAAAAGAATAGTAGTGTACATATTTTACTACACATGTAATGCTGTACTTTGCTAAATTCAGAATTACATACATTTAACAAAAGTTAGCTCTCCATTTAAAGCTAACATGAGAATCACTTTGCTGTCATCAATATGACAGAAGAAGAAGACACCTTACTTAATTTACACTTATATACACTTTCTACACATGTGATATTATCGCCTCAACTTATGAGAAGGTGTGGAAAACTATGTCTTCACATCGGTGCAGTCTCCAACTCTTAGGGTTTCAATCCCTAGGTGGCTAATGAGGTCATTCATGAACGTGTGAATTTTTACAAAAAAAAGTTTTGAGCTCTGTTCTCTCATCCTACAATCTGAGAAAATAACTTTAAATACATTTATTCAGAATATATTTTGAATAAGTAGTTTGTAAATTTTACTTATATACATATTGTATAAAATATAACAAATATAAAAAAAGGACACAGAACGTTACCACAGAACTCAGGTGTCCTCCAGTTGGGAGGCTGCCCTCCCGCATGGGAACATTGTCGAGAGAACTCGGATAGTGTGCTGCAGCCACAGAAGTCACTTGTACTGTTGGTGCAGCCACACATGTCCTGTGCACAAGCCTGGATGTAGGGTTCAGGGTTAATCAGTTTGTTGCAGGAGCTCCAGGACTCTGAGTTCAACATCCTGTGACAGGTGGTCTCCTAAAAGTTAAAAAGAAATGGGTAATAGTGTATAAACAAGTAAAGGAGTGGCTGGACCAAATGGCTAAAATTTCCTCCCATGAAAGACTACGTTATAAACTGAAAGATAGGCAAGATATCTACATGAAATTTAGGGCGCTTATGTTACGGCAAAGTGATGCGCTGAAGACTACAAAAAAAAGAAATAGGTAATAGAGACAAAAGTGGCAGAAGGCTATATGTTCTTATATCACCAAATCTCTACTGCTAAAACTATAACTATATAAACTCACAAACTCCTTGCATGAATCCGGCACAGTCCCAGCCTCCAGTGATTCATCTTCAACTTCGTAAGGGTCCTCACAATCATCATTTGGACGATGGACTTTCTGATTGTTGCCAAACTCAGTGGGGCTGATTTTGCGTCCTGCACGGTTGTAATTATAGTGTTAAATGTCAATAAAAGATACAAAGGATGACTGATTGGAAGTGTTTCCTAATACATTAAATAAATATATGCTTAAAGTCAGCAACAAACCATTAAGAATGAACTCATTGTAGACAGAAACACCATTGAAGTCTCCACAAAGTCCACAAGTACGATTAGCATAGTCACGATCGACTTCCACCTACAACAGACATGATACGGTTCAAGGCCATTTATTTGTCATAGGGCACAGTAGATGCACAATGGAGTGAAAGCTGTAACTCCTTTGTGCACATAGGACATAACAGATAATCAAATTTAGATTAAAGGAATAATATATAAAATATATAAAAATGGTTTAAACAAGATATTTTTATGTTTTTTATTTATGTATTGAAATGATAAAAGGCAAATAAAATGACTGTATTGTTATTTCAAAATGAAATACCAAACAGTGCAATTTGATACTCATCATGTGAGCTACTGAACTTTTAGAAATGACAGTCCTTGTTGCGCTTTCTTTTGTCAGTATACATGGTTATTCTACTCAAACTGCAGCCACAGAAGTTATAAAGGCTAATTGTTTTTATAGATGTCAGTCCGTGGTACATACTTGAAATATCAAGTTTTTGGATTTTAGGGTTTGCCGAGCAACACATTTCTAACTTGTTGCTCAGTGTGGTTTTGTCTGTTTTATTTGTCCAGGTTTTGAAATACTACCCCTTAGTTCTCACGGTGAGCACAACAAATATAATGAAATAACAAATAAAATGAAAAAAAGCTTTTACCATGACTGCATCGTCACCATTCCATATGACAACGATGCCGATTTTGGATTGGAGCTTGAAGTAAACAGCATTTTTTTCTACTTGTACCCCTGCCTGGTTGTATGGCATTTTGACACTAGCAAAGAGAGAATGTTATCTTAATTATAATATAAAAATACAATACACAAATATCTGAGAAAAGGTTTTCTATTTTGGGGATAAAATAATTCCCTGGTCAGTATAGGTTTTTACTTACGGAAGGTCATTCACAGTGACCCGGCTCTTGGTGAGGTGGAATGAAAGGTCACCGATGGTGACCACCACATAACTGACTGTAGGGTCTCCATCATCCTCTGTCCTCTTCATGTGTACTGAGAACTCCTGGTAGGACTTGTGGCAGTCGGAGGCCAGATTGTATTCACACATTCCAGGGAACTGATACACATCACCATCAAATGTCTTGAAATGCTCTCTGCCCCACGTGCTGCAGACGTTGCCGACATGGTTGCGAGCTGGGGAGGCAAAATGCATTATTGTAATTTCTTCATATGCACAGAACTAACATAAATAAACAGATTTATGTCTTATTACACGGAGAGAAAATTTCCAGCCTTTACCTCCTAAGCATTATTGTGTTGGACTCAAATTTTCAGAATAACAGATATTAGTGATAGTGCCGTACATTATACACGTATATGTGGCAAGCAGAAGAAAAACACAGTGCTGAAAACTGTTACACAAAATCTAAAATATCCCTCTTACCCTGTCTGGCATGGACATTGATGACACCGGCAACGGACAAAGCGAGGAAACACAACCACAGAAATCTCCACTTCATTGTTGCCAAAGTGGGTTTGCAGGTAATAGTCGGACTGCACTTGACAGCCCTTTATATTTCGATCCCACCCTTACTGACAAGGAATTATGTTAATATGACATGGTAAGTGCACATGGCAAAAGTGTAAGGGATGTTATATTTTCTATGTCTTCCATATCCTTTGATCAAACAAGCAGCTCTGTGAGGCATTTCCAGAGAAACTGACAGCAATTGTTGACATTGCAGCTGTTTCAGGTCTTCTCTTTAACAGGAACTTATTTTTGAAGAAAAAATCTGAATATTACTGAGCTGTTTCACTATTATATTATTAATGGTTAATGGTAAGACATAATACAAAACACAATAAAACATACAACACACTGAGTTACAAAGCCACAGTTGAAAAACTGAAAGAAATAGAAAAAAAAAGACGTCTCTATATTGATGGTTACAGTATGATCTTAATGCAGAAATGAACCAACAGCAACCTCCAATGTTTTAGTCAACTTGCTTAAGCAATGCTTTTAACAAATCCTGCATCATGTCAGCATGTAACTGTTCTTTTTGCATCAGTCCATGATTCAGGATTGAAGGGTTTCAGTGGTGTCTCTCAGCAAGGTCATATAATAACTCAGTAAACATGCTCCTTGAATAATGAATGGGGTGGACAAAATATTAGAAACATCTTTCAATTGAACTTACTCTAGTACAACACCATCACCCACTATGGCCTCAATAATAAAGTTGAATTATCACCATTCTGACAGTAAAAGTAGAATTTATAGCACAGTTGTTGTGTTGAGTTACATTAGATTATACAGATGTACTGTAATACTATTATTGAGTGCACAGTATCTAACCATACAGGGATCTTATAGTTTGCTAAGCGTTCAAACAATTTTTATTTCTACTTCTATTTATTTAAGTTATTTTTGTTATCTTTAATATCTGTTTGTTAAAATCATAAATTATGTAAATTCATCTTAAAACATTACTTTCTGCTGGTTTGCAGGATTAACAAGGTTAATGGCCATATTATTAAAGTTATTTATAATTATATTATATTGTGCTTGTTAGGAGATACACAGACAAAAGCACAGTCGACAAAAAAGATTTTATTCCCCTTACTTAAAGCCTGTGTAGTATTCTGACATGCTGCTTTGTTTGAACCACCTCCGTGACATTTAAGATTGTTTCTGGAATGATAAGTGTTGAAAGGTAAGTAGTGTTACATCAATATTCAGGGTAATTATGGGTATTGACTGTCCTCCCTGAGCCAACACAATTACACCTTCCTTGTCATGAAACTCTCCATCTGTGGGAGAGGTCCAAAGCCATGTTTATTCTTGGTGGAGTTCACATATTACATTACATTATGAGTACATTACAGTTTCACATTAGAGTGCATTACAGTTCACATTAGAGTGCATCTGAGGGAGCAAAATTACTTTTTTTCCACTTTAGTTTACAAGAATCCCAAATAAAGCAAACAATAAAACCCAAAGCATTTAAATGCTGCTTGCTAAAGTCTGTTTTTTCATTTATTTTATAAAGCACAACTTGCTGGGATGGGAGACGGTTTAAATGATCATCCCATCAGCTGGAGTGATTCATTTTTTTAATTTTTTTTTTTTTTCAGATTGCTGCTAACTAAGTGCTAACTAACTAAATGCTGTAGCTACTGTTAGCTACAGTTAACAGTTAACATTTTGGTGCACTTGGTCAGAAAATAAACCAATACAGCAACATTTCTGGCACCCTAAGCGTTATGCCCACTACTTGCATTTCTCAATCGTTTGAAAAGGTGGTTCCAGTTTTTTAAATGTGAATATTTTCTGGGTTCTGTATCTATGTCAGTACACTAAATATATTTGGGTTGTGGTCTGTCAACATGTGAATCGACAATGGAAACAATCACTAGTTGCATCCCTACATAAAATAAACCATGCCATTATTAAACCAACATTATAGTGCAGCATGGTCCAACACTATATATATATATATATATATATATTATATATATATATATTATTATCATTATTATCGTTACCAATATCATTATTGTGGACTAATTTCTGTAAGTGTGGTCGTGGTGAATAGAGTTAGTGTGTAGCTTGAGCTGAAGCTTTGATGGTGATTTGTGTTGTGTTTATGCAGACCCAGCAGAGGGAGCCCAAGATGAATACAAAAGTCTCAGGTCAGTATTAATGTATGGAGGGAGACAAAATGTTTTCTGGAATCTACTATTGATGAACTGAATATCTGTCTCCATATTCATCTGTATACTGTTTATTCAGGAGTACCTTTTGATGCTTTCCATAATAGATTTGACTGTGTTTTTAGTTTTATTATTAAAATGTAATAATTCCATATGTAATTGAGCTTTGGCAATAATGTAAGATTCACATTTATGCCAAGAGAGTTGATTTAAGATGTACTGTAGTACGGTGTACATTTTAGGACATCCGTAGACTTCTGCATCAGTTCTCAGATATCAGAAAGAAATAGCATCATTACAAAAGACCAAAAGGGTTCAGGCCACAGGAATGTAAGCTGTCATAAATGCGTCAGACTGATTCAAACTAAACTAATAGGACACAAACAGACTTCATTGATGTCGGCTCCACAAAGTTAACACCCTAAAATGTTGTGATGATGGTTTGATGTTTTGGTGTAATCTTATGAACAAAAGGCATTTTCCTTGAGCGTGCTTTCTGTAAAAGAACCCAATAACAAAGTTACATGCATACTTTAATGAGTTGCAAGGACTTTTAACAAAAGGAACATTGATTTTATATGAAAATAACCAAAAGGCAGTAAAAAAGGCAGTCCTGTTTTACAAAAACCAAAGATGTAGATGGACGTTCACATCATGTGCAACAGAAAACTCTAAGAAAACTCTAAGAAGCAATTGCATGATGTTGTAGCTGAGGGGGTTAAACATAGGCCATTCTCCCAGGAAACTGTGCTTTGATGTATGTTTGTATATTTATACTAGCATTCAACTGAGAAATTCAGATGTTAATTTAGGCTCCAAAGTGACGGTAGGCTATTATTGTAGAGGAGGACAAATTTCACTATTGCAAATCCAAATGAAATATGGTCTAAATGTGAATGTTCAATCAGCTTCTTCAAAATGTCAGTGAAAAAACTGTCAGTGTTGAATCAATTTGGTACGTCTTTTCACCAGTGATGATAATGTTCGCAAGGAAATAAATATGCACCACACATTGCACACTGAACACAAAAGTCTATTCTCCCTATCTTTGGTCTTTTATCAGTGTATAGTAGGTTAGTTTGGTCAGATCTGTCTGCCCTTAAAAAGGAAACAATTTTCAGAATCTACGGGTAGTCTGACGCACCACAAAGCGTTGACAGTGCATACTGTAATCAGCAATTGAAAGAAGTGCATCTATTTGAAGATTAAGTAGGATGCACCCATCTCAGTGCATTTCAGTCACTTTATGCTTCCTCTTATTCCTCACTTCGAGTGACTTTGAGGTTGATTAATTGCCCTTGCCTTGTATAGACACGAGGAGGCAACATTTAAATCACCAAAATAAAGCACTTACTTTGTAAATCTTGAAAAAGAGAAAAAAAACTTTTAGTTGGCAGTCAATGACCTCCCTAGAAATTAATTGACCTCCTGCAGCAGGGCCAGAGTCACTGTGCTGATGAGACACTTGAAAAAGAAGGCAGGCACAAGGATGCACAAGTGAATGAAATAAGACCCATATCATCAACACAAAGTTTAAAGAGACCAGGTTGTGATTCAGAGGCTGTGAGGGCACATGTTTACTAAAAATGTGGTTTTAAAAATCTATTTGATAATCATTCATGTGAGTCAGGTATGCACTGTCCATTAGGCCTGCTGTGATTAATTCATTATTCTAAGTGCCTAAGACCTGAACTGTGAAGGTGCACTCTTTAAAAAATGTAAAGTTGATTTCACAATTTATACAGTATTATTCAAAAACATCCACTCTGCCATGCTTACTGTTTAATATCCATTTTGATTAATTTAGGAGAATCATTGTGTGAAAACAGGAGGACAGTGCAGAGGAGTGATACTAATCCCAATTTAACCTCTGGTATTTCTGGATAGATTAAACTAATTCTCTCCTTCTTCCACCCGCTAATAAATACAGGCAATGTGTGAGGAAAACAAGTTTATATTGGCCATCTTAATAAGCTTTTTTACACTGTTTAATTTAGATTTGGACCGCTCTAAGTCACGAGTTAAATTTTACAGGTCATTAAATGATCAAGAGGATAAGAATACATTTAAATAATTTGTTTTTAAATATGCCTATAGACCACAGATGTATGCCCTGTCACAGACTTAATATGAAGATTTGTATAATATAAGAAAGAGTTTTAATCATTCAGTGTATTATTATTATTATATTATTATTATTATGTTAAATTATATTCAGTATAACGGCTATAAGGACTACAGAAAGTTTTTGTCATCCAAACTCCGATAATGAGTTGATCCAGAAAAAAATCAGACTTGTATAAAAGAACAGAAATAAACCGTCAGACTGTTTTCATGTGTCTGACCTTTTTACTGCTTTAGTCAGAGGCTCAAATTAACCTTCATTAACAGTGAATAGGCGTGTGTGTGTGTGTGTGTGTGTGTGTGTGTGTGTGTGTGTGTGTGTGTGTGTGTGTGTGTGTGTGTGTGTGAATCTTACATGACCCAGGCTAATTTGTGAAAGTCCAGAGACAACATTGAAGAGAGTAGTGCTCCTTGAACTAGTATTCCTCAGACTGTCTGTGTGTTTGTATTTGCTCATGAACGTGTGTGTGTGTGTGTGTGTGTGTGTGTGTGTGTGTGTGTGTGTGTGGGTGCACCCGTCTGTGCTGAAGGAGAGAGAGTGAAGCCTATTGATTATTTTAATCCTCCTATTTGTGAGTCTGTGATCCTCTCGGCTCAGTCTTCCACAGGGGGATTGCTAATGGGGCTGAACGCTTCCCTCCTCAGCCGCTCTCTCCTTGTCCAATTAACTTAACGTTGGAATCTGCGAGGAGAGAGTGCTGGGACTCAGAGGGGGGGGGACACTGCTGAGAAACAACCCCACCAACAGCCCCCCAGTCCAACATCCCCCAAACCTCTCGTATGCACCACATTCAGCATGAACCTCCTCATCCAGAATAGTATTACCTCTCACCTTTAATTAAAGCTCCATCTCCTTGTTTTATTTCGGTGAGGTGAGAACTCCCTTCAGCCTGTGTTTCATTTCACAGGGGGGCTTTGCAGTAGGCACAGTAGCAGGTCTTATAATGGGAACGCTACCTTCAAACAGGTTGCTTTATTTGTAACACTGCCTGAGTTCAGACATTTCAATTAGTATTTTTCCAATTATTATTTATGTTCAACTCTGTTCTAAAGCTATAATCCAGGGAACCAATCCTTTAATTATAGACTCGTTACTAAAGAATTTGCTTTATTTCATAAACCTTTAACTGAAAGATGGTGTCAGTGTCCACAAACTCACAAGGAATTGTTTTATGCAGTTTAAAATGATACATAGGCTCCATAACTATGAAGCTAACGACATCAGATCAATCCAACACACTCGCCAATGTGTGAGAAGTACGAAAAGAATAAAGCCACCCATCCCTATACCCCCAGCATGTGTTATGGGCCAGAGTGCAAGATATTTGATATAAAGTTGAAAAGATCATGTTAATAAAACCAAACTGTCAACAGTTATTTTTAAGGCATGAGGAACTTCAACCCAACAGATCTTCGTTTATTATTGTCGCATTACTGCCAAAAAAAAAAAGTGTTGACAAGGTGAAAAAGCAAAGAAGCACCAAGGGTGTATTGTAGCGCTACTATCTGCATTTAGACTCTGTATTCGTATTTGGATTTTCAGTATATTTCCATTTATACTCCACATATGTATGTGTAAGTCTAGTTGCCCACAAAATATGCAAAACAACATAATATTTGAACCATGTACCTAAAATAAGCAAATAAGAAAGTATATGATTTGTAGCTAAACACAAACAAAGTCTAAATGTCATATAATAAGGGAAATAGAACAAAATGTTTTAACACATTTGTCCGCATTGTAGGATTTTTCTTTAAAAATGGGAGACTATGTCTATAAGGCCATAGGCCAAGATGAATGTGAAGCTGGCCTTAAGTATCTGTGATACATAAAAAGAGATAACTATACATAATAGCCCATTGCCCCTTATTGCATAATTAAAAAAAAGAAGGTTGTGCATGCAATGGGAGGAGGTCTGGATGAAAATCAAGTTGATTTGTTGTGTCTGTGTTGCATTTTTGAGATGCTCATTGACTTCAGTAAGTTTGTTACACAGCTTCAACACTGGATCAGAGGTAAAAGAAAAAAGCAATATAAGCAAATATGCAGCAATGATTCGAAGGCTCTTCAAATCTGCACATTATCTGTTATCCAAATATTCTGCAGGCACTGGACTAAACTGTAACTCTTTGTAACTCTGACATGTTTGCACTTTCTGGTACATCAATCATTATACTCTCTGCCTGTTGGGCTACTTGAAATGTACAAATCATATTCACTGTATATTATTTCTTTTTGCACTGGAACTGAGCCACTATGCCGTATCAAAATAACACTGTTGAGTGGCAATAATAAATTATTGACCAGTATCTACCTATCATATTCATTCACATCCCTAAGAGTCACCATCTGTTAAGATGCAGCTCTCTTACATGATCAATACCTCAATGGTTGAACGAAGCAAATGTGGGGAAAAGACCAGAGTGACTCCATATGTTTATAGGCTTTCATACAATACTTACAATGGATAAAACATTACAGCTGGATAGCATCACGCAGGTTTCATTTGTGAAAATGAGAGCATATAATTGGGATCGACAGCATATGATTTATAATAATAGTCCCATTGTACCTTAGTACAGTACTTACCTAGATTGGGGTAATGTTTTTGTAAGGGATTTACTATTTTACTTTGGCTGATATAATCGTAGCTCTGAGTTTGACATAAAACTGCAAAAAAAAAAAAAGACAAAACATCTATTGCTGTTCTTGGGATGACCTGGAAATGTTGAATTACATGTTCAATCAATCTTGACTGTTTGTTAAAGATGTTATGTTTGCTATCTGACAAACAAATTTAACTGATTTGGAGTTTGGATTTTGGAGGAAACAAAGATATGGTGGATAGGTTAGTGCTTGAAGTATACTGAAAGATATTTGTCAGCTGTTTTAAATTTGCTGAAATAAATATGTGAACCTCACTCTATGATGAGTTTGACAAATGCTGCTAAAATCTTGAGATTTGTGAACAGTCAAAACATATCACAGCAGACGTCAACATCTGCTGAGTTCTTGGTTTTCCTGCGAGGAGAGAGTAAAGAACAAAAGGAATAAAGAAAGCGCTGGTTTTACTCTGACGGCAAAATAATCCTGAATTTTCTTTTTTTTATTGTGTTTCATGGTCTTCAAGGGCAGAGGAAAATCTATGTTGATTTCATACATAACAAATACACACAACTCAGCTTGCAAAGTACAGTGACAACAATGAATCCACACTGCTCGTGAACAAAGGTAACAGCGCCAGAAAACACACACAGGAGGATGCAGTATGGCACAGAGGTTATGTTAAGCCACTCAGGAGGAATGTCTGTGTACAATATACAACGTCAGGATGATTTTTTCAATCACAGCACAAGAATGACGAGTTCATCAGAAAAGTTCACATCCAAATCTCATCAGGGTAAAGTCATGCTATCAGGCTTCAAAGCTGGACCATGTGTCACTTGTTGGGACAATATAGTCTCTGCCACACATTTTAACAAGTGTATTATTGGGTCGATATGAAGCTCTCTTCTTCCATGGCACTAAAACTACAATAGATGTGCTCAAAGGAGTATTATATTGTACCCATCTAAGCATAGTATAATGAAAAAAATAGAATCGTTTAATATAATAATTTGGTTACATCAACATATTTATAATTTTTCTGGATGCACATTTTGAATTAAACAGTGTCATGCTTCCCACGGGTGTTTCCCATCATACAGAATGATCCTCTGTCTACAGTTCAGGGGCTTTTATTTACAACAGTGAGTTACATCCAGTTACATAAAAAGATGTCCTCAGTTAGCATCTGCATTTCATAAAGTGGACAACGACAACTGCATGGACTGCCCATGTTCGCTTTCATCAGAAATCTTCGTCAGATTGCGGTTTGCATTACACGGATCAGCCCGGACTCAAAGGAAACTGTCTCATGCATAAAAACTGAAAATGAAACAGATAGTGTAAGGCACAGAAAACCTATATGGCACATGGCAGTAAAACATCAACAACAGTCACCTGTCACATGGGTATATTCACAGTCAAATTAAATGAATAGTTCGACACTGAGTGAAAGCATGAAATAAGCTTATTTGCTTTCTTGCAGAGAGTTAGATGAGAAGGTCGATACCACTCTCACGTCTGTAGGGTAAATATGAAGCAACAACCAGCCGCTGGTTAGCTTAGCTTAGCAGAAATACTAGAAACAGGCGAATACAGCTAACCTGGCTCTATCCATAATATGCTAACCCAAACACTTTTTTGTACGTATTAAACAAATGAGGTATAACTTGTTATTTAGTGAGCTTTAAAGATTCTGGTAGGTGGGTTGTAAAACCTTTTGGCAGAGCCAGGCTAGCTGTTTACCCCTCCTCCCAATGCTGTGTTAGCATCGGATTAGCGGGGCTGTTCTTAAGATTGATGCGGCTCTCTGACATTCACACCAACTTCACGCTGTCTTTGGTCAGCTGTGCAGAGGTCAGAAAGGAACTAGGGTTTGAGCTCCTCTCTCTCGCTCTCTTTTTTCTCTTGTTATGCTATTTCAGTCACTTTTCATGTGAGCAAGTAAGTGCAACATTATGAATGTCTTCTAAGAGAGACGGTCTGAAAATGGGCACCATTATCCCCATTTTTAAACAATATTGTGCAACCTTGCTCTCCGTATGCGCCAGCCTTTCAATCTGCCTTCGAGTGTAGCCGTTCTGAACTGAATGTCAACACTTTTCCAACTTTGCCGGCCAAACACTTCGTACAACCCACCCAGCCCTTATGCTACACCCAGCTAACCAGCTGTTGGTCGTAGTGTTGTAATGAACAGAGAGATATGAGAATGGTAACATTGTTTTCATCTGCCTCTCGGCAGGAAAGCAAAGAGGCGTATGTCCCAAAATGTCGAACAGTTTCAATAAAGTCATACAGCAAACTAGGGAGGTGTGAGTGTGAACAGATGAGGGCGTAGAGGAAGCCTCATTAGTAGGACATGATGAAGCTCTGTCATAAGCTCTGGCTCAGGGAAAATCTCAAAGCTAAACCTCAGTATCGATATGCTGTGTGTGTTAAGGGACTGTTACCAACAACTTGACAACCCCCCCCTCCCTTAACAGGAGTCAGACAGTGCAAGTTAAACTGACAGCAACGCTGCTTTGACACCTCAGCACAAACACACACACATATGCCTGCACACGGGCATGAGCACAGACATACAACACACTGGATTATGTTCATGTTGTTGGCTATATTATCAGCTGCGATCAATATATTCATGACTTTTCTCGTTTGGAAATCCATCTCAGAGCGAAGGCGAGAGGCTGCAGCCAAGAACACGCACTTCGATTTACAGTCTACATTCAGAGATTATTTCAGTCGATTTCAGACCAGTGGCTAAAATGGTCATCTTGTCTCAGTGTAACAACTGATAGGAGATGCTCAATTAATGTGTGCACACCTGTGTGTGTATGTGCGTGTGTACAAGCAAATGTGTGCATATGAAACAGATGTGAATCATGTGTTTTAGCCATGCTTACACATGCTGTACATGGCACAGAATAATGATTACACAAGTGTGTGTCTCAGAAGTAAATGTTACCTGGTAATATATACAATATTATATTCATTTTTACACATATTCTCTTCAAACTGTTAACTGTGATCATGTTATTACATGTTTTGTGTACTGAACAGCATTGAAATGGTAAAGTACATTATGGCAGCATGGTGTGTTAGATGCAGAAAGGAGAGGACACTTTTTTTGCTTGATTACAGGGAGAGAGAGTATATAAATGTGAGTATACTGTCAGTCAGGGTAGATGAGGAAGCCAGAGAAGGTGCTGTATTTGTTGGTGTTTCCGCCGTGAACTTTGCCCCCGTCCAGCTGTACACACACTTCGTCCCCCACATCCAGGTGCAGGATGACGCTGTTGGAGGCGTAGTCGTAGTTCTGATCTGCATCTTGAGCAATTGCACTGGCCCTCACCTGAGACAGAGAGAGAAGATGTTCATAGGCTGTAAAGATGGAAACAAACAGATACAAAAAGAGTGTTGTGGTCTATGTTTAAGCTGCTGATGTTCCACTGTTTTTTCTTGGATATTTTAATCCTTTATTATAGACAGCGAATAGATGTATTATATTTCTTATTCACTAAAAAATATAATATCGGGAATTATCGATATTGGGTTTTTATAACCGATGTTTGTTCTGTAGGCTTCAGCATTTCCGAGCCTGCATGAACGCAGCATGGGACGTTTACGGGCGCGCGCTAGATGACGTATAACAACAACAACTACGCTAGACTGGTTGGTTGCTAACCGTGGCTAACAAGCAAACAATTTAAAGCTGAATGATTTTAATATTAACACAAAATAAGTGGAATGCACCTTGAATATTTTATCCTGCTATGAGCTGTTCCTTAACCAAACTAACAATTGGCTTAGAATTTACATTAGCACTCCTTCAGGTGAATAATACAATTAAACACATTAACCAAAGATAGTGCGTAGCTAGCGATTAGCGTCAGCGCTCTTTTCAGTATTAATACAATGAAAGTTGAAGTTGTTCTCTTATTGTGCACAGACAGTGTTTACATTTGGAAAGCCATGTTGCATTTATGTATGCATCCAGTGGGGCATCACAATAAAATTAGGCATAATGTATTAATTCCACAACAGGAGATATGTTATGTTGTTACCTAACAGTTTTGGTGTAAAAAGCCTGCAGATATCGGTATCAGGTGATATCGGAATTGGAAATTGAGAGTTGGACAATATTGGAATATCGGATATCGGCAGAAAAGCCAATATCGAGCATCCCTAGTTTTTTATCAAATAACATATTTTAAAGCAGCTATAAGGAACTTTCATTTATGTTGATTCTGGTGTGGCAGTGTTACTGCCGCTGGTATTGTGCGTTTATGTAGGTCACATGACTCACGATACTTAACGACTGGAGATTTCAGTGTCTACACACTGTCTGGGGATTTCTAAATGAGAAACGTAGTTCCTTAATGGCAGCGAGAACGGCCGCTATCAAACGTAGAGCCCTTACTTCAAGGACACATCTTACCTGAAATTCTCCTCCCATTCTCTTCCATGATGAAACAAACTAGAGATACAGTGAATCACTTTGTGACAGGGAGTGAGCTTTTTAAAACAAACAGCTAAAGAGTTTGGATTGGTTCTGCAGTGTTTTTCTCTCCCACACAGTTTTAGCAATGAGTCATTTTTAGGCATCGGTATTAAATTGAGACAAACATGGCGGCAATTCAAACCGAACACCAGCCACTCTCTTTTCAGATTACTGACGTAAATATGGCACATTTTTGTTCAGATAGTAAAAGTATGACCTGCATTTTTCCCACATCATTGCTAAATGGCAGTTAATTATTTTACTCAAACAAAAAAAAAATGTGTTTGTGTTTGTAATATTCAAGGAACGATTTTCACTGACTAGCTTCCAACATTTCATTAGGGGACAATCCTCTCTGCTCCCCTTTGAATAATCATCACCACAGCCATTTAAATGTTAATAACTAGTTTCAGGAAACATGAAAAAAACGAGTATAATGCAATTTAGTGATCTAATGCAAAACATAAATGGTAGAATTTTAAATAATACCAAATTGATTTATAAGAAGAATCGTTATCAATACTGGCAATTTTGTTTTACAATTGTTTTATATAATAGGGTGATGATTTTGATGGCTTATCTTCTTCGTCTTCTCACAGTAGAACAAGTCTGTTCACTTTATCTGGATTTATTTCCTGTTTCATTCTGTGATCTTGGTGTAATGTCATCAGTACAGATGCCTTCCTGTCCACTGGGTAGATAGATGAGATGTGCAGTGATCTTTGGCCTCAAACCTCCATCTGAGCACAACCTTTCTTAGCCACCATCAATTTTTCCAGAGGATTGTTATGCTCACACCTGATCCACCTGTTGCAGAGAGTCTGATAGGGATTGCACAGATGGCATCAGGGAGGACATCAGTTTATTTGTCAAGCAATTACAGCAAACCCAATGAACGCAACATACACACACTGACAGTTGCTATATGGACATTTTGTTTGTTGCAGCTGATCGACAGCAATTGACTGTTATTTTACAGGTACTGCACAAATGGTCCATGTTACACTTACATATATGCATAGAAGAGACAATTCACAAGAAAATTACTTTAAACTCGCTGGTAATGTTGACAATGTATAGGTTCACCTTTTAAGTTGATATCGCAAACTTTAAGAAAACTGTTGTCCACTGACACATCCAGCAGACACTGTCCACCTGACAAATGTAAGTCCAATATTCACTCTGCTTTTAATTTTGCTCTCCATCAAATCTTGAGAAAAAGATCCAGCTTTTTAGCTCCTAAATGCTCCACTATGTTCACCAGCTAGTCTCTAAATTTGTCTGTCTGCCGCTTGGCAGGTAATGTGAGTTTTTAGAGCCTTTCCACCCAAATCAGCTGGGAGCTGAAATCGATGCTGATGAGAAAAAATGAAAAAAGGCCGTACATTAAAACAAAAAAAAAGAGCTGAAAGACTCTAAAATGAGTTATATTATTTTGTTTCATAGCACAAAGTAATTCGGTTATTCATAATTATAAAAACATTGATTATAGCAGCTTTAAATTTAAAGAAACTAAATAACATTCAAGGCGAGTGAGACAGTCATTCATGTTACGCTGAATTCTAACTAGCACTTTAAAAAATCTTTGAGAACCATCACCTTTATTTTTGAGTTTTTAAAGAAACGTAGAGAAGCTAAGATGCAGGAAACACAATTTTAAATTGCAATATATAAATAAATAAAACTTGTAATACATTAAATGCTAAACATGGGCATAATGCATAGGCAAGGACAGACAGTCAAACAAGACCATAGCCTTACCAAACAATGTAATCAGCACCCCTATGACATAGTTATAACAAGAGCTGATATTATGAGCTTCATAAAACTTGCATTAATGTCTGCCATATTCAAAACCAATACCCTAAGGATGCATTATCTGGTGTGAAGATCACAGAACCTGGAGCCTGACACACCTTTAAAAAGTAATATGGTCCAATGAGTCATTCGTCACTCTTTAATTTACATCTGGACAGATTTATGTGAGGAGAAACGCAGAGGGTGTCATCCACTCTGATGCACTCAGTCTGTAACGGTACGACCAGTCACGAGGAAGTCGTTACATCTGAGGATTACTCTACATGTTTACATAACAGTTAACATAAATGTGATATTGCTAAACATAGATCCAATGATGTCCCCATATTCCAAGATCCTAATGACCCCATATATGTTGCTATTAAGGTTTCATTATGATTTGGCTGAAGTCAAACGCCTACGGTAGCCCACATGGTTGTTAAATAGAGGATAAGATAGGGTAGGATATATTTAATTTGGATATAAGGCTATAATAAGATATTTCTTCTTTGCTGACTTGACTTTTCTTCAGGAGAAGAACAATTCCACTTGGCACAGGTCAGGATTCAACCAACAACATTTTAATGTGGGTAAACAGGTTTGGTTTGACGATGAACAGGGCAGTGTTTCTGTTATTTTGTCAACTTCTATTCTAAGCCCAAGTAAGTCTTTTTTGCACCCAGTAAGCAAATCTACTTTAATAAATTTCACTATCGCAGGGTAACTAACCAACTATTCAAGCAGACGATCCATTTCATAGTGGAAATAAAGTACACAAGCGCATACATATTAATGAATGCAAATATGATACCCTCACTCCATCCTTGTCTCCGGCTTTGGGTCTGGGTCTGACTGAGGATATGGTCCATCATCTCCACCAGTCATCAGGCTTCCCTGACTCTCTTGTGATCACTAAGATAAATCAAATAAGACTAAACTACCCATTTCTCCTCATCCTCCATCCAATAATGAGTTTTTTTCTCACCCATTTCATCAATTCAGCTCAATATATTTCTCCATAGAAACATTTCTTCCATGTAGAGAAGGTGAACGTTTTTAGTCCCCTCCTTCAGACGCAAATAAATCGATACATTTCCTTTGTTTTAATTCAACTCACATCACTCCATTAATTGTTGTCTCTCTCTCCACACCTCACGCCCTTTCCATCATCCCTCTCCCATTCGCTACCCCATCGCTATCTCTTCATCCTGGACCCATCTATCCATCTTTTTGTGTCCTTACACTCCAATGAGATGCAGGTCACGCACACACATTTTCTCTCCTCTGCCATGGCAGTGTTGGCGGGAGCAGCGACTAAGTGTGTCCCTGTCCGGTCTAAATCGGATTGATTAACGGTGCGCTGCTGTGGCAGGTCTCCTGAGGACCCAACCCCCCCCTACCACACAACCCCTATTGCCTACTTCCCTTCCCCCCCTTGCAGCATCCCTCCCTACCTCCAGATGCGTCAGGGCAGGCTATACATGGCAGCAGGCTACGGTAATTGGTAGTTGGACAGGCTTGGCAGCTCCCCTCTGCCTAATAGGTCCAACTCCTCAATAACTCCATACAATCACAATAAATGGGGGCACAGGATAGGCTACAGTGGTCAAATGGGCCCATGAAATACTAGCAGGAGGTCAGGATAAGATCCCACACACTCACAGCAGCTCTCTTACTCTTTTTTTTCTTTTTTTTTTATGAATCTCAAGTGAACACCTGAGAAAAACCACATGGCATATGAGACATTTTGTTATTTTATACTGTAAGACTGCTTTGCTCTGAAGGGACTGAACAGCTCCCCCGAGGAAAGCTAATAGGTTTTAGGAAAAATATAACAGTAAAGAGATTCTGACATCTTGTACATCCAACATCTGTCTACATGGTTGAACGGCAGGATTCCCCTGGTAGTATTTTCAGCTGAGTTGGAGGCTGACAGGCTGCTGCAACTTGTTACGAAAACACTATATGAGTACAATTAAAATGACTTTACTTCTCTGCATGTGCATGGACAACATTATTACAATCCCTCGATTAAACCGCACGCAGCACATTCA